CGGCTTAGAAGCAAAGCTGTCTTTATCCTCCTGATGGGAGGTGATAGGAAAAAGAGATTGCCGATCTGCAAAGGTGGGATGGCTTAAAGGCAAAGCTGCCTTTATGCTCTTGATGGGAGGTGATAGGAAAAAGAGATTGCCGATCCTTAGAGGTGGGACGGCTTAAAGGCAAAGCTGCCCGTTACCCTCCTGATGGGAGAGATACTCACAAAATCTGCGTGTTCCAGGAGCCCCACGTTCAGGCGCCAGCTGCAGGGGTCTCTCCCTCTCTTCGCGGGTCGTTGGCCACCGGTCCACGAGGGCAGGGGGAGCAGAAGCGACGAACAGGGTCAGGACAGCCAGTGAGCACTGACAGAAGAAAGCCTTTCAGGGGAGGCTGGTCCCAGGTGCAGTGAAACAGCAGTGATACAGCTCCAGACACAGTGAAACAGCTCCGTTTATTCAGTGGGAAAACTAGAGAAATTATAGTGTGGAGGCAGTAGCCAAAGCCTTAGCTGATAGGTGCTCATAGTATGCTTTATTTACATGTGGTAGTGGGCTCCTATCATATAGATTATCATATAGAAAAAAACCTAGGGGTAGTTTTCACTCCAGGTAACTATGCCAAAGGTCATGTTCCAAATAAGGTCAGACATCTGTGCTTGGTGGCACTTTCCAGGTAAGCCAGGAAGAGAGCAGGAGGCCCCCTGCTGAAAAGGGGAGTCCTTCCATTTGGTTCCAAGCCCTTAGGGCTATCCGGACATGGAGAACTACAACCCTAACAGCAGGGTTTCCCAACAGATTATGAGATTTTTCCACAATGTACTTGTACTTTAACTTTATCTTCATTGAGGATTAAATGTTGAGGAGGAAAAGGGAAGTAGATAAGCAAACTTAAGGACGGAATGAGACACTTTTCTGTTCCCATTGCCAGAGTTAACTTACTGTGGCAAGACTCAACTTTGGTGACAACTACACTTGTTGTAAGGTTCATCTGCACCCTGTTCTCAGATGCTACTTCATCCTTAGCACTTTCATCATTCATTGCCATGGTGTGCGCATGCGTGCATGCATGTGTCTGTGTGTGTGCCACACACCTCATGCCAGCTTATCTGCCATTTTCAGTACCCCATCTAGCTTTAAAAAATTATTTTATGTAAAATATATATTTTTTATGTGTATGAGTGTTTTTCCTACATGTATATAAGTACACCATGTGGGTACAATGCCTAAAGAGGCCGGAAGAGGGTGTCGGATCCCCTGGAACTGAAGTACAGATGGTAACCATGTGTGTTGGGAACTGAACCCGGGTCCCTTACAAAGCAGCCACTGCTCTTAACTGCAGCCATCTTGCCAGCGCCCTCCCCCAGCCCTTTTGCCTCAGCTTCCAGATAACCTTAGAGTTCCATGGCAGAGCCCTCCACCGCACTATGCTGGGAAAACACAGTTCAGTGCTGCGGTTTTTCCTACTAGCGACTCCCATCTTTTCCAAAAAAACAGATTAATCAGAAAGCAAACAATTAAGCAGGAACCCCAGCACTCCTTTCTGTCAGTGTGTTCAGATTGGGGATGTGTACACATGTGTGCACAAACACACCCCTGAGATGGAAATGACACATGGACCCTGAACTGTTTTCTTCTAACTGGAAGATATGAAGAAATCTCTGGGCCCTTCCTGAGTGCTTTTCTCTACCTGTGGTTCATCTCGGGTAAAGGCAAGCTGCCAGATCAAGGCTGATCACATATTCTCCTTTAAGTGAAGCACTTTGATTTCCCCACTAGTGACATTTTAGGGTCAAAAGGAAATTCAGGGCTTTAACTTTCCTAATTCTGGAAACTCTTTTGCTTAGTCCTATGGGACTTAGGATTGTTGGGGCTTTTTAAAAAAATTTTTTTATTATTTTTAGTTTATGTGTATGCTTGTATTGCCTGCATTTAGGTAAGTGCACCCATGTTGTGCAATGCCCACGGATGTCAGAAGAGGCTGTTGGATCCCCTAGGACTGGAGTTATGGACAGTTGTTAGCTGCCATGCGGGTGCTGGAAGGCTTTTGTCTTTTTTTGTCCTTTTGAGACAGGGTCTCCCTATAGCCCCAGCTGTCCTGGAACTCACTATGTAGACCAGGCTGGCCTAGAACTCACAGAGATCCATCTGCCTCTGCCTCCCAAGTGCTGGGATTAAAGGCATGTCCCACACCCGGCAAGGCTTTTGTCTTTTAATGATAAATTAGTGCTGAGTTATCTGAAGGTTGGACTTTGCCCAGCCATTTTTGTCAACTGGGCGTCTAACAGTATTATTTCTGTACACTGTCTCAGCTGGAGTTACAGATTGTGAACTTAGATCTACCATTTTATTGTCACACACAGAAGTCTTTCCTGTCCCACTCCCAGTCTTCATTTTCTAAAATTTCCCTAAATCATAAGACAGAAAAAAATAAGTCTGAAGAAAAGTGTGAAAATTTATTTCTTTCAAATAAAATCTGTTCCCTTATGAGAAGGTACAGATGGCCTAGAGGGAGCTGGGATGTAGCTAAGTGACAGAGCGCTCACTTGCTCAAATGCCTCAAGTTCTGGGTTCAGTCTCTAGGACCACAGGGATGAGGGGACAGGGAAAGGCACATGTGAATGCGGAGGAGTCTTGACTCAAGAGTTTCAAGTTAGGCATTTGCTTATTCTTACTAATCCCTTAATTGAAGTAAATATTTCTGGGTGTGCAAATTACAGTGACTATTTTATGTTTAGTCTTTTCCCTGGGTCACAGACTGAGTAAGTAAAAGAGCTGAGAACACAAAATAGACTTATATCATCTTGAGCCTTACTGGGATTCAACTACCTCTGATTTACCACGCATTACTCTGAGGAAGACCTTAGCTCCCATTTTCCACATCCCTTAAGACGGCTTAAAAAAATACAACTTCTGGCAGGGTGTGGTGGCTCACGCCTTTAATCCTAGCACTTGGGAGGCAGAGGCAGGCAGATGAGTTAGAAGCCAGACTGGTCTACATAGTGAGTTCCTGATGAGCTGGGGCTACAGGAAAAAGACCAAAAACTCTCTCTCTGGTGTGTAAGTGGAGGAATAGTTGCCTACCATGTAGATCTGGGTTTAATACCCAGCACCCAAAAAAAGTCTTATTTAGTTATGATGTACAAGAATATATCCACACACTGATTGCTTTTGCAGAGGACCCGGGTTCAAGTCCTAGCACCCACATGGCAGCTGACAACTGCCTGTAACTTTAATTCCAAGTGATCCCATACTTTCTTCTGACCTCCTTGGGCATTGCACAACACGGGTGCACTTACACACATGCAGGCAACACATATACAATAAAAATAATAAATAGGCCGGGTGTGGTGGCGCACGCCTTTAATCCCAGCACTTGGGAGGCAGAGGCAGGCAGATCTCTGTGAGTTCAAGGCCAGCCTGGTCTACATAGTGAGTTCCAGGACAGCTGGGGCTACAGGGAGTCCCTGTCTCAAAAAAATAAAATAAAATAAAAATATTAAAAAGATATATCCACACACAAATTCAAAATTTTTGTATGAGCCAGGCCTTTAATACCAGCATTGAGGAAGAAAAAGCAGGTGGATCTCTCAGTTCAAGGTCAGTTTGGTGTTCATAGTGAGTTCCAAGCCAGCCAGAGCTACATCTCAAAAAAAAAGTTATATTCTGTTGCTTTTCCTAATTCTGTGAGGACAAAAGTAACTCAGAAGTAAATTGAGATTGGTTAGAAATTTTTGATACTAAGACAAAGATTTTAATCACTGTTTCCCTAGGCATAGCTGACAGTTCCTATAACACAAATAAGCCACATAACAGAAGATGTTCACACCTAAAGGCCTTCAAGAAAATGGCCAAGATCCAAACTAATCAGCCCCCTTCCCTCAGACTTTGATAGCTTACATCTCATCAGCTTTTCTTAGTTTGGTTTATTTTTAAATTTTAATTGTTGGGTTTATTTAGTTATTATTTTTATTTTATGTGTATACGTGTTTTACCTGCATGTATGTAAGTGCACCGTGTGTGCAATGCCAGAAGAGGTGTTAGATCCCCTGGAACTGGAGGTATAGTCAGTTGTTAGCCACCATAAGGTGCTGGGAATTGAACCCAGATCTTCTGCAACAGCAGCCAGTGCTTTTAACCTCTGAGCCATCTCTCCAGTCCCTGTTGTTGTTTGTTAAAGAAACGGTTTCACTGTGTTTCCCAGATTACTGTCAAACTCCTGAGCAAAACCGATCTTCCACCTTACCCTCCAAAGTAGCTGGGACCCCAGCCACATGCCACTCACTCTACCCGCTTAGAGTGACATTTTTGTTTGTCCGCTAGTAAGTTTCTTTCATTAATGCTGCTAACAGCGGTCTCTTGCCATAGGTTCACCTTCTTTTCCTCCTTAGGAGGATGGCCTGTAGGCCTTTTGTCACTTCCCCTTTATATCGGATCTCCGCCATGTCCTTTAGTAATACCCAGAAGGCCTCTAGATGGCTGGTTCTGAGCTAGGCAGTCAGGGAAGAACAGGTCTGTTTTCCACCCACTCCTTAATCAGCTGGTGGGCAATGGCTAACTTGGGTGGCAACAAAAATGGAAAAGCCTCGTTCTGTTGCTGAAGAGTAGAGCCTGTTCTCCTCAGGGCTGTGACCACCTCATCACGACTGAACCAGGCAGCTGCCTCCAGTTCTCTCAAGTTTACCTGAATCTGAATGAGAAGGAAATTAAAAGAGTCAGTTAGGAACTATAAAATTTAAAATTTTATTTGTTTTTATTTTACGTGTATGAGTGTTTTGCCTCTATGTAAGTATACCTGTGTCATGGAGTATCTGTGGAGGACAGAAGAGGGCATAGGATCCCCTGGAACTGGAGTTATAGACAGTTGTTAGCCACCATGTGGATGCTGGGAATTGAACCCTGGTCCTCTACAAAAGCAGCCAGTGCTCTTAACTGCTGAGCCATCTCTCCAGCCTTTCTATGTAACTCTTTCAGTTAAAAAAGAACTTACAGGGGTAGCAAGATGGCTCAGCCAATAAAGGCTGCCAAGCCTCATGAACTGAGCTCAATTCCCAAGACCCCAAGGTTCTCAAACCCCCAGATGGACTCTGGCAGGTGTGCACGCACACACAAATAAATGTATAAAAATTTATTTTAGCTGGGTGTGGTGACACACACCTTTAATCCCAGCACTTGGGAGGCAGAGGCATGCGGATCTCTGTGAGTTCAAGGTCAGCCTGGTCTACATAGTGAGTTCCAGGGCAGCTGGGGCTACAGGGATACCCTGTCTCAAAAAGACAAAAAAAAATTTATTTTAAAAGAACCAAATTTATACAAATGTTATTCTTTCCTTAAAGTATAAAGGTTAATGGTACTAAAATCTAGACGTAATGTTATGCCAGGGTCTCCCTATAGTCCCAGTTGGCCTGGAACTCACTGAAGAACCAGGCTAGACTTGATTTCACAGAGCTCCACCTACATCTGCTGGGATTAAAGGGCGCACCACGACGCCTGGCTCAAAAGTTACACTCAGAAGTTCTGTAGTTTTATATCCTTCATCCCCAACTTCCTCACTAACTCTGAACAGTAAGATCAATGTCAAAATTAGTCATTAAATTTGATATGCGTAGCCCGCATGGTGGTGGATGCCTTTAGTCCCAGCACTTGGGAGGCAGAGGCAGGCAGATCTCTGTGAGTTCAAGGCCAGCCTGGTCTACAAAGCAAGTTCTACCCATCTCAAAAAGACCAAAACCAATTATTTTTTGATATGTGTAATGTGTCTCTATAAGGATCCTGTTACAATTTGAAGGTGAAAGATAAATTGTAGCATAAATGGTGTTGGCCCAACTGGGAACAAATGCAAGTGAATAAGACCTTTTTTTTTTTTTTTGGTCTTTTTGAGACAGGGTCTCCCTGTAGCCAAAGCTGACATCAAACTCACAGAGATCCACCTGCCTCTGCCCCCCAAGTGCTGGGATTAAAGGCATGTGCCACTACACCCAGCTGATTAGACCTTTTTTGTTTTGGTTTTAGTTTTTTTTTGTTTTTTGTTTTTTGTTTTTTTGTCTTTTTGAAGCAGGGTTTCCCTGTAGCCCCAGCTGTCCTGGAACTCACTATGTAGACCAGGCTGGCTTTGAACTCACAGATATCCGCCTGCCTCTGCCTCCCGAGTGCTGGGACTATAGGCATGAGCCACCATGCCTGGCTTAGACCCTTTTTTTAAAAAAAAATTTTTTTATTTATTATTTTTATTTTATGTGTATGAGTATATTGCCTGCATATATGTAAGTGTACCTATGTGGTGCAATGCCCAAGGAGGTCAGAAGAGAGCATGGAATTCCCCTGGAACTGGACTTATGGATGGTTGTTAGCTGTCATGTGGGTGTGGGAATCGAACCCAGGTCCTTTGAAGAGCAGCCAGTGCCCTTAACCACCTCAAGCCCTTGAACTTAGAGATCTGCCTGCCTCTGCCTCCTGAGTGCTGGGATTAAAGGCATGTGCCATCACTTCTGGTTGTTAATGAGTTTTAAAATGAAAGAAATCCTACATTTGCAACAAAGTGATGGTCCAGGAAGATGTACTAAGTGAAATAAGCCTGATATAGAAGGTCAGATTCTGCATGATCTCACCTGCATGTGAACTCTAAAATAGTCAAACACAGATGCAAAGAGCAGAATGCTAGTTCCCAAGGACTGGAAGGAGGGGAAATGAGGCACTGATCAAAGGATATCAAGTTTCACTTATACAAAATAAGTTTAGAAGCCCTGTACAGCATAGGGCCCATAATTAGTAATATTCTGTTGAATACATTAAAATAAGGCTTATGTTAATTACTCTTATCACAAAGAGAAAAAATAAAGAGTACAGGAAGAGTGAGGAAAAAGTTCCTAACACTGATAATGGTGACTGATTGATGGTTCCTGAGTGTATGCTTATCTCTAAACCCAACACGTTGTATGCATGAAATAGCTATAGACTTTTTTCTTAAACAGGGTCTCATGTACCCTGGGCTGGCCTCAATCTCTTGATCTACCTGTCTCCACCTCCCAAGTGTTGGGATTACATGTGTGGGATGCCACACTGAATTATGTGATGCTGAGGACTGAATTCATGACTTTGTATATGATAGGCAACCACTCTACCTACTGAGCTATACCCCCAGCCCATCTACAGACTTTTACATGTTAATTAGACTTCAACAGTCATTTCAGACTGGAAAGATGGCTTAGCAGTTAAGATCACTGGCTGCTCTTGCAGAGGACCCGGGTTCAATTCCCAGAAACTGTCCGTAACTCCAGTTCCAGGGGATCTGACACCCTCTTCTGATCTCCTCAAGCATTGCATGACATGGGTGCACTTAAATACATAAGACAAAATATCTTTTTTAAAAAAGAAAATTATTTCACGATTGAGATACATGCAAGAGAAAATAATTTTTTCATTGGTAGAATGCAAATTCCTTGAGGATATAAATTGTATCTTACATATCATTATATAATCCAAACAATGCTCATCAGGACAAGTGCTCAGGAAGTACTTACTGACCAACAAAGAAAACATAGCAGCATAAGAGAAAGTTCAGAATTTACCTCTGTCTGCCCTGGTTTCACGGTTGCATGACAAGCGATCATGAGAGAGCTATTAGGAAAGGGCCAGTGCTGGGAGGCAGAGTACTGTAGTCTTTCCACATCCAGTCCCACCTCTTCTGCAACTTCTCGCCGGACAGCCTCTTCCACATTTTCACCTGCAAGCACTCAGATTAATTCCGGACAGCCCTGGAGCAGGAAGATTGCATATCATATATCTGTATCATGACTCATTTGAGAAAGGAGTACAAAACTCGCTCTAAAGTCTCAATGTAATACTCATGAGCATGTCCTAAATGTTCTCTCAACACTAGGAATTGGGTGCTGAAGTTCAGTGCTTAAATCTAGTAAGTTCAGAATAATGCAGGTGCAGGATGGGAGGAGCTACAGCCCCAGCTGTAATACAACTCTTATTTTTACCAAACTAAAAAAGATAAAACAGTATAAAGAAAAATATAAACATGGAATTCTAGTGAGTATTCTGCATGTTGGTATATTTAAGGAGAAGTATACACATGTGTGCAATTTGTACATCAGAAAATAAGATGGGTTGATGGCAGGCTAGACAAATGGATAGATGAACAGGTGTGTGATAAAAGTAGTAAAAACTGCGGTAGCAGGTGGAAGGATGTTCTCTGTGTAATACTTCCAATGAGGCTTTGTTTGAAAGTTTACCCAATATTAGAAAATTACAATTACCGAAGACTGTTTTCTTGACCCGAAAGGGAAGAATGTTTGTGGTGAGAAGCACCAGGGTAACAGGACAAAGGCCTACTGTTTTTTAAATTTTTATTTATTATTTTTTTTCATATGTATGTGTGTATTGCCTGCATGTATGTAAGTGCACCCATGTTGTGCAATCCCTGCAGAGGACAGAAGAAGCCCTTGAATCCCCTGGAACTGGAGTTACAGACAGTTGTTAGCTGCCATGTGGATGCTGGGATTCAAACCCAAGTCTTCTGCAAGAACAGACAGTGTTCTTAATTGTTGAGCTATCTTTCCAGCCCCCAAAGGGCCTACTGTTAATCAGTGTTGTAATCTTCCTTTGTCACCTGCACACCTCCTAAACGCCTTACCTATATCACAAAAACCTGCTAAGGCAGAATATAATCCCTTGGGAAAGGAGCTCTGGCGGGCAAGCAGGCACCGGGCCCCATCTGACAGGAGAGTGATCACCACAGGAGCCATCTAGGAAAAGAGAGTAAACTGAGATGCTGGCACCTTGGAGCTAAACAAAGGATGGACAAGTATGAAGCCTGTGATCATGCAGGCTTCCTTCCCCCTGAGAGACTGGCAGCAGCCTTCTTGGGCCACTGCTCTCATTGTTTTTGAGGGGGGTTGACACAGGGTCTCAAGTAGCCCAGACCGTCTCCGCTTCCCAAGTGCTGAAACTATAAAGGAATGCTCACTTGTGGATAATAGATGATCTTATTAGAGGGACACACACGCTTGCTGCCAGCCATGTTCTTTATGGTGGGTTGTCCACTTTTGCTGCAGAACTGATGACTATCATGCCAACGGAGAAGAGCCTGAGCCTGGAATATAAAGATGGTCTGTTCAGAGAAATGCTGTCCAGAGCAGCTCATGGGGCATGCCAGGCCCTTTCTTGCTTGCTTTGAAAACATTTTAAATTTTATTGGAGGGGCGGTGTGTGCATGTGCCATAATGCATGTGTGAAGGTCAGAGGACAACTTTGTTGAGTTCTCTTCTACCTTTACAGGGGTTCCGGGGATTGAACTCAGGTCACCAAGTGCTTGTACAGCAATAACAGTTACCTGCTGAGCCATCCCACCAGCCCTAGCTCACCTACTTTAGTGGCTGCTGTTTAAAATGTAAGATCTAAATTTATTCCCCTACCATCAGAAATCAAAAAGAAAGCCTATTCTATGCAGTTTTCTCTCATACTTGGTTTTCAGTGCTGGAAATCAAATACAGCTTTCCATACCACAAAAGTACACTCCACTGAGTCATATCCCTAGACCAAAATATGTTTTAATTAATTAATTAATTAATTAATTAATTAATTTTGGTCTTTTTTTTTTGACACAGGGTCTCCCTGTAGCCCCAGCTGAACTGGAACTCACTATGTAGACCAGGCTGGCCTTGAACTCACAGAGATCCACCTGCCTCTGCCTCCCGAGTGAGTGCTGGGATTAAAGGTGTGCACTACCACACCTGGCTGTTATTTTTATTTTTTATGTGTATGGGTGTATTGCCTGAATGTAGGTAAGTGCACCCGTGTCATGTGTCATGCAATGCCCACAGAGGTCAGAAGAGGCTGTTGGATCCCCTGGGACTAGAGTTACAGTTTTTAGCTGCCATGTGGGTGCTAGGATTCGAACCTGGGTCTTCTGCAAGAACAGCCAGTGTTCTTAACCGCTAAGCTATCTCTCTAGCCCCCAAAAAATTATTTTAAAATTAAACATCCATGTACTCATGACCCAGATTAAAAGTAAACATTTCCATTTCCATTGTAAACATATATTCCTCAATAATAAAATAGTGATTTTTTTAAAAAAAGTAATTTGTGTGTGTGTGTGTGTGTGTGTGTGTGTGTGTGTGTGTCTGAGTGGGGGTATATGCATGCCATGGTGTGTGTGGAAGTCAGAGGACTACTTTAGGGAGATGGTCCTCACCTTCCACTGTGGTAAGGCAGGGTCTGTCATAGTGATTCTGATGCACAGTGCACTCCAGGTTAGCAGCTCATGAGCTTCCAGTCATTCTCCTGTCTCTGCCTTGGTCTCACCATAGGAGTACTGGATTACAGATGCACACCACAACATCTGGCTTTTTGCATGTGTTCCCAGGATGGAACTCAGATTATCAGGTGTGTGTGGCAAGTGTTTTCACTCACTGAGCCATCTGCTCAGCTCAACTGCTTATTTCTTGCAACTGAAAAATGCTTAGGGGTTTCTCTTTGATTTAGAATGAACAATTAAAATACCAAAGCATGTGTTGGCACATGTCTGTGATCCCAGCATTTGGGAAGTAGAGACAGAAGAATCAGGAGTTGAAGGCTGTCCTCAGCTGCATAGTGTAGTAAGTTAAAGGCTAGCCTTGGCTATGATTCTGTCTTTGTTTTTTGTTTTAAGACAGGGTATCCCTGTAACCCCAAATGGCCTGGAACTTACTATATAGATCAGGCTGGCCTCAAACTCACAGAAATCTGCCTGCCTGTGCCTCGTAAGTGCGTGTACACCACCATGCCTGGCTGAGATTCTGTCTTAAAAATTAAAAAAAAAATTAGTGGACCGGTGTGATGTCTGATCATGCTTTTCAGCTTGATGGGATGTACACTCACTATGAAAATAACTCTCCGGGCATATCTGTAAGGAATTATCTAGATTAGGTTAACTGAGGGGGGAAGAAGCCACCCAACTGTCCAACCATGGCTAGCAGCACTCTATGGGGTCCTGCATAGTGACCTGGGGTCCTGGAATGAACAAAAAGGAGAAAGCAAGCTGAGCTTCCATCTTTCTGGGCCTCCTGGCTATAGATGCAATGTGGCAGCCACCTCAAGCTCCTGCCGCCATGATTTTCTCATGAGGCTAGACCATATTCTGAAACCGTGAGCCAATAAACCCTTTCTCTCCAGTTTTTTTTTTTCAGGGTACGTTATCACAGCAGTAGGAAAAGTACTACATCTAGCATGCAGGAAATGCTGAGTTCAATCCCATTTCCACAGAAACCGGGCATAAGGAGGCATGCCTAGAATCCTAGTTTTTCAGAAGTGGAGGGAGGAGGATCAGAAGTTCAGGGTCATCCTCAGCTACATAGTGAGTTCAAGGACAGCCTGGAGTAAATGAGACACTAAATAAAAATCTCCCAAAACACCACAGCAAGTGAAATCTAAAGCTGTAAGAACAAGCTGTTAAAGTAATGTAAGAGGTTGCTAGGCCCTATTGCTACAGATAAGCATGTTCTTGCGTGATAACAGTCTTGACAGCAATTTGGCTAAAAGCAAAAGTGAAATGAGCAACAGTAAACAATCTTTCTATAGCACTTTGTTTTCAGCCAATGTTTATAGGAAGCAGCATGAGCTGTGGAAGAAGAAACATAAGTAGCACACCAGGCCTGTGTCTGCACACCTGCAGTAGCCCATGCATGCAACTGTACTGTACTTCCTACAGAACTGAGAAACCAGAATCTACCGTGAACAGCAAGGAGGAATCCATTGAGTTCAGCTGAAGAAGAGCCTTCCTCATTGTGATGAAAGATGCTTTGAGCTCTGCCTCTAGTTCAGATTTTGGTAAGGAGGCTAGAAGAGTAGAAAAGAAAATGAAATTAAACAAATGTTCAACTGTGTCAGGTGTGGCAGCACACACCTTTAATCCCAGCGCTAGGGAGGCAGAGGCAGGTGGATTTCTGGGAGATCAAGGCCAGCCTGGTCTACATAGCAAGTTCCAGGCCAGCCTGGTCTATATAGTGAAACCTGTCTCAAAACAAACAAATGGCCAACTTTACCTATGGGCCCCTACTATGCAGTCCATCTTGTCACAGCAGCATTTCCCAAACTTGTCTAATAAGACTCATCTAGGGAATGTGAAAAATACACAGGTTCTCAAGCTCCGAAGTAAGGGTGTGTGTGTAATGTTACCATGAAGTAGTTTTGGGTTCTCAAATCTGCACTTTTGAATATGTATGTATGTGTGTTTGTGTATGTACATTTTTAAAAAATTTTTTATTTTTTGTGTATGAGTGTATTGCTTGCATGTATATGAGTGCACCTGTGTCGTGCAATGACGTGGAGGTCAGAAGAGAGCTTTGGATTCCCCTGGAACTGGAGGGTTTTTTGGGGGGGGTCTTTTTGAGACAGGGTTTCCCTGTAGCCCCAGCTGGCCTTGAACTCACAGAGATCAGCCTGCCTCTACCTCCCAAGTGGTGGGATTAAAGGTGTGCACCACCTTAAAACTCCCTGGAACTGGAGTTTTAAGGATGGTTCATAGCCACCATGTGGGTGCTGGGAATCGAACTCAGGTCCTCTGCAAGAGCAATCAGTGCTCTTAACAGCTGAGCCATCTCTCCAGCCCCTGTATGTACATTTTTTAAAACATGTACCAGATGATTCTTAGTCTGGGAAACCATTAGAGTACAGTATTTCTCAAGATCCTCTTGAGGACAGAAAGCCCATTTGCCTTAGTGACACATAGCCTTGGAAAAGAGATGCACTAGGATGTCTAAGCCTATGTGAACAGCCCCCACTATCGTTTTATTTATACTCAGACACTAAAGAGAGAAGGAAAGCCTAATAGTAACCCATGAACCTAGAATCGAGTGGTTCCAAAGAGTAGGTTTGAAGTTCTGGAACTCCTCTGTGCTACAGTTTTTATTTCACTACTTTGGTAAAAAGAGTAAGAATGATACCATTATACTTTTTGTTGTTTTTGAGACAGGGTCTCAAAACAGAGAACTTTTTAATTTTTGCTGTGGCCAAGCTGGCCATACCCTCTGAGGGTGAGGATGGTCTTCACTCCTCAGGCTTCTGCCTCCACCTCCCAGGTGCTGGGTTTGAGCATATACCACAATGCCTGGCTTCTGTTCTGTTTTTTTGAGACAGGGGCTCACTATTTAGCTCAGGCTGGCCTTGAACTCAAAATTCTTCTGCCTCAGCTTCTCAAGTATTGGGATTATATGTGCCATACCCAGTTTTGCTCACATGAATTTTAAAATATTTATGAAATAGGCAAGATATAAAATGTATAATGTGTGGGGTGTGGTGGTGCACATCTTTAACCCCAGCACTCAGGAGGTAGAAGCAGGTAGATCTCTGTGAATTCAAAGCCAGCCTGGTCTACAAAGTGAGTTCCAGTCCATCTGGGGCTATAGGAAGACCCTGTCTCAAAAAGATTAAAAAAAATGTATGGGGAATAATAATATAAGCATGTGTACTCACCATTTGGAAAGAAATAACTAAAATGCCCTTTATTTTCATCTGGGTATGGTGGTGCATGTCTGTAAACCCAGCATGTAGGAGGCTGAGGCCGGACTGAGTTTGAGGCCAGCCTGGGCTATGTAGCAATTCCAGGCTTAAGTTGAATAGCAAATCTGTCTTGGAAACAAATCTTTTTAGCTGTTTTGTTTTGTTTTGTTTCTCATTTGAGACAGGGTCTCACTCTCTAGCACTGGCTGGCCTGGAACTTGATACATAGATCAGGCTAGCCTTGAACTCTTGGGAATCCATGTGCCTCTGCCTCCCAAATGCTGGCAGTTAAATAAACAGGCATGCACCACCATGGCCAGCTCAAAAAAAAAAAAAAAAAAAAGTCCTTTAGTACATAGCAGTGCTTTTAATGTTCTTACTTTGAAAAAATTGATGTTTTTGTATTCCCAACATTTTCTTTTAAATGATATTACATGAAATCCCAAAGTCTGAGAACAGCAGGGAAGCCCCTTTTAGGAACAGGGTTATGTACCATGTTTGGAAGAGGAGCTATTCAGACCTAGATCCAAAGCAAACCACGCTTCATGCTGGTCGGAGCACCCAATCAGCACGGACTCTTCTATTCTTTGTGCGCCCTGTCCAAACTTGCCCAGGAGCCCTTCCAACTCTAAACAAAAAAAAGGAAAGGGAGAAACACATAAAACAAGGATTTCGATCACATCACCACAGCATTAGTAGACTTACAGAAAATCATGTACTTCTGCTTAAAGTATACAATTGCCCCCTTAGAATCTGTTGGGGTCTGCTGACAAAATGCTTCTCACATACCCAAATCTACATGTGTTCAAATCCCTTATATAGAGTGACATTTTTCAGTAACCCATACACATCCTCTCACATACTTTAAACCCTCTTGTTTGCTTAAAATGCCTAGTAGCAGGAGCTGGAGAGATGGCTCAGTGGTTAAAAACACTGGCTGCTCTTGCAGAGGACCTGGGTTCAATTCCCAGCACCCACATGGTTGCTAACAACCGTCCATAACTCCAGTTCCTGGGGATCTGACACCCTCTTTTGACCTCCAAAAGCACGGACATGGGTGCACTTACCTACATGCAGGCAATACACTCATACACATAAAAAATAAATTTTTTTTTTGGTCTTTTTGAGCCAGGGTCTCCCTGTAGCCCCAACTGTCCTGGAACTCACTATGTAGACCAGGCTGGCCTTGATCTCACAGGGATCCACCAGCCTCTGCCTCCCAAGTGCTGGGATTAAAGGCATGTGCCACCACACCTGGCCTAAAAAATAATTTTTAAAAAGCCCAATAATAATACACTTATGTCCATAGTTGTTATATTGTTTCTTTAGAGAAAATAACAAGAATGAAAGTCTGTCCATGCTTAATACAGCACAGATTTCAGTTTTATTGCCAATGTGCCCTCAATTGGACTGTTACAGGATCCCGCCCCCTCTGCTCCCAGCAACTGAACCTAGGCCCTCAAGCATGTTGGTGAAGCACTGTACCACTGAGCTACATTCCCCATTGCTCAGATTTTAAAAATGTACTTTCAGTCCACACTTGAATCTGAGGAAATGGATGCTAACTGCATGTAGCCTAAAGTCCCTGCCCTGAAGCTAACTAGCTGTGTATCTTCAGACTAATCACGTAACCTCCCTTGCTCTGTTTTTGTTTATTGTTGTTGCTTGAGTTTGTTTTTTCAATTATATTTATGTTGTTGGGAGTAGGTGCACATGTGGATGTCAGAGCACAACTTTCAAGAGTTGGTGGTCTCTTTCCACCATGTGAATCTGGGGCTTGAAGGGTAAAGGTTTCACAACAAGAACGTTTACCCACTGAGCCATCTCACAGGACCTTAACTTTTTTTTTTTTGAAATAGGGCTTTACATAGCTGAGGTTGGCCATGAACTTTTTTTAAAAAAATATTTTATTTTTTACTTTATTTTATTTGTATGATTGTATTGCCTACATGTATGTAAGTGCACCTATGTTGTCCAATGCCCACAGAGGTCAGAAGAAGGCACCGGAGTCCCTGGAACTGGAGTTACAGTTATTAGCTGCCATGTGGGCACTGGAAATCGAACTCAAGTCCTCTGCAAGAGCAGCCAGTGCTCTTAACGGCTGAGCCATCTCTCCAGCCCAGCCATGAACTCTTGATCCCTCTGCCTCTACCTCCTAAGTGCTGGGAGATTATACATATGCATCACCAAGTCTGGAGTTACTTATTATCTCTTGGCCTACACTTTTTTGGGGGGGGGCTCTTTTTGAGACAGGGCCTCTCTATAGCTCCAGCTGGCCTGGAACTCACAGAGATCCGCTTGCCTCTGCCTCCCGAGTGCTGGGAATAGGTGTGCACCACTGTGCCCGACTTATTTTATTTTATTTATTTATTTATTTTTGGTCTTTTTGAGACAGGGTCTCCCTGTAGACCAGGCTGGCCTTGAACTCACAGAGATCCATCTGACTCTGCCTCCCAAGTGCTGGGAAAAAGCATGCGCCACCACGCCAGGCCTTTTATTTTATTTTTTTATTTTATTTATTATTTTTATTTTATGTGTACGCATGTATTGCCTGCCTGTAGGTAAATGTGCCCATGTCGTGCAGTGCCCGCGGAGGTCAGAAGAGGCTGTTGGATCCTCTGGGACTGGAGTTACGGACAGATGTTAGCTGCCATGTGGGTGCTGGGATTCGAACCTGGGTCTTCTACAAAAAGAACCAGTGTTCTTAACTGCTGAGCCACGTCTCCAGCCCCTATTTTATTATTTTTTTAAGAAAGGGTCTCCCTGTAGCCCCAGCTGGCCTGGAACTCACTATGTAGACAAGATGGCCTTAAATTTTTATCTAATTAAAATTAAGTTACAATGCAAACTTTATTGTTTTTGTCAGATTTTTTTGTCTTTTTTGAAACAGGGTCTCCCTGTAGCCCCAGCTGGCCTGGAACTCACTTTGTAGACTAGGCACAAACTTTCACTATAGAGAAATGCAAATTATTTGGGGCTTTTTAATGTGGTCTGTCATGACTACTCAATTGCCGCTATAGTACAGAAGCCAGCAAAGACAGTATGTCAGCCAACAGGTGTGGCTGTGCTCCAGCACAATTTCACTTACAAGAAGGCAGCAGGTCTGATTTGAAGAGCAGTTTGGTGAATCTCTGTTTTCAGGCATTAGTGGTACATATCATCACTCAATAATATCTAACCGAGTAACTAAAGTTCAAGCAACAGACTATTAATTGGCAGAAGCAGTTATATCACCTTGAGACCTAAAAGCTGTTTGAAAAATCTGAACTCTGAAGTGCAAGGATACTTTTGGAGCTTCAATATAGACTGAATTCCACCTAGCCGCTGCAGACTTGCCTATTCCAAGGATACACTTTGGGCTTACCTGATAGGCTAAGCCGGGGGACCAGATAGCCTCGTCCTGATGCCTGAAGCAAAGGAGCCAGGTCATGAAAGAGGTAAAATGCTCCTGTTTGCTGGGCCTTCTTACAGGCATCATTATCTTCCCTCAGTTCAAATAAATACCTGTGTTTGAGAAATAAGCCATTAGAAGATCATCCTTAAGTAAAGGTGCTTGCTACCAAGTCTGACAACCTGAGTTCGATCCCCAGAACCCACATAGTGGAAGGAGAAATCCGACAAGCTGTCCTCTGATCTTCACATGTGTCATGGCATATGCATCCACCCACATGAACATACCCCAAAGATGTAAGTAAATAAATGAAATATGCTTAGTTACTTGTATATCATTCATTTGGGGGAATTTTATATAACTGTCCTGTACAGTTTTATGAATGTCTGTATGTATGACAGAATTGGGAGCCAAACCCAGGGACTTGCACATGGTAGGCGAACACTATAATGCTGAGCCATACTCTCAGTTCTCTTTTCCCTTAGTCCCAGCACTCAGGAGGCTAGAAGTAGGCAGACCTGTGAGTTCAAGGCCAGCTTGGTCTACATAGTGAGTTCCAGGCCAGCTGGAGCTACAGGAAGACCCTGTCTCAAAAAGACAAAAAAAATTATCTTTTATTATTTTTATTTTATTTTATGTGTATACATATTGCCTACATGCATGTACGTGCACCCATGTTGTATAATGCCCATGGAGATCAGAACAGGGTGTCAGATCCCCTGAAACTGGAGTTATAGACAGTTATTAGCTTCCACATGGGTACTGGGAACTGAACCTGGGTCCTCTGCAAGAGCAGCCAGTGCTCTTAACTGCTGAACCATCTCTCCAGCACCTTTTCACTTAAAAAAAAAAAAAGATTTTTAAAAAAAGTTTTCATTCACGTGGTTGTGTGTGTGTGTGTGTATGTGTATGCATGTGCACACGCGTGGATTCCCTGGAGTTGGAGTTACAGGCAACTGTGAGCTGCCTGACATGGGTGCTGGGAATTGAACTCAGGTCCTCTGGAAAAGTAGCTAGTACTCCTAACCGCTGAGCCATCTCCCAGCCTCTTTTTTCCCTTTTTGAGACAATGCCTCACTAAAGTGGCCTGGCTGGTCTTGAACTCACTCTGTAGCCCAGGCAGGCCTTGAACTTATAATCCTCCTGCTGCAGCCCCTGGAGTAGGTGGGATGACAGGTCTGTGCCATCATGCCCAATTCCATTCATTTATTCAGCCGTGCATTTGTTTCTTTGTCCCAAGGCTCACCTGCCCACACTTCTGTGCTTGCGTCATTACGCTGTGACTATGACCTCCCTAAGGACAGGGTCTACCAGTCTTGGCTTTGCATCTCAGTAACTAGCATATTAAATGACCTAAGTCAATAAATTTTTATTGACTTGAACTTCAAGGGTAATAAATATTTACTGAATTGAACTTCAAGGTACTTGGCCAATATTACACAATGAGGCAAGACTTTACAGTCAGTGGACTGAAAGGAAAGAAGTACAAATATAAAAACGTCAACACGGCATTCTACAGACGGGAGCGGACTTTATTACCGCAGAGACGGAAAACACTGTTACTTCAGTTCACTTTTATTCACTCTAGGGAAGATAAGGAACAAACTTTATGCTCACTGCACCCTTGCTTCAGACTCTTGGCTCCTAAGGTGGACAGGGTTAGCTCCCTAAGCATACTACAGGGACCTCTGATGAAGCCCAGTCTGGACCTAATTAATTAGTAAGGATATTTTCAGTAACCAAAATAAAAATATGGAGTAAGAAAACTTTGTGTTGGTTTCTCAAAGGATATAGTAAAGCAAATTCTAGGCTTTTCTAGTACCTTCATTAAGGGTGGTCTGAGTCTGTTCATTAAAGAGCTTTGAAAATGAAGTCAGAGTCCTTGTGATGCAGTGGTGACTAAATGAAGATTCTCTTGAGGGACCAAGTATTAACTGTGTTTGCCTGTTAAAATCCTAAAACAGGGCTAGGGATACAGTTCAGTGGTAGACTGCTTGTCTAGCATGTGAAAGACCCTGGGTTCGAGCCCCAGCACTGAAGAAAAAAAGACTTCTGAGTCCTAAAATGGACTCTCCAGTATATGCCGTATTTTGTCAACTAAGTGGGAAGTGTGTTTCCCAGATGTTTTCTGTAGGACCTGGGAACATTTATAACATCAGTAGGCACAGTAGGCATAGCATTAAAACACGAAGCAAAAGAACAAACACCCCAGTACCCGTCTTTAGGAATCTTCTCCACCTAGTAAAAGGAGTAAGCTCTTTATGAACAGAAAACTAGAGAAACCTGATCTTTTAAAGCTTGTGATATTTTCAAACGTGTTTTGAATAACTGTGGCCTCCAGGAGTAAAGACTCATTAATGTCAAACGAGAGACAAATGACGCTCAGAAACAACCAATATGGGCAACAAAATAAGCACTTCTGCCTTGGAAACGAGTGGGCGTGGTACAACCTGTGCTTTGCCACAGATCCTAAAACCAAACCGCCTACCAAACACCAACGCTAGGGTCTTGAACCAATGGCTTCACTGAACCCAGAAACGAGAGCCAAAGTTCCATATACGCTTCTCAATAAGGAACTCATTTTCTCCCATTAATTGTCATACCATGGAAGCTATGACACTCTTTTTACCAAGGTTGAAAATAAATTATTATTTTTTTATTATTTATTTATTTATTTTTGTCTTTTTGAGACAGGGTCTCCCTGTAATCCCAGCTGGTCTGGAACTCACTATGTAGACCAGGCTGGCCTTGAACTCACAGACATCTGCCTGCCTCTGCCTCCTGAGTCCTGGG